CAAAAATCAACTCAAGGTGGGTCAGAGACCTGGGAGTAAAGCTCAAAACCATAAAGTTTATAAGGGACAATCTGGGATCAAGCCTTGATGGCCTAGTCTTTGCTATAAAGAAACTGCCAAATATAGCCAAAAAAGTATAAACTGAAGAAGATAAAATTAATGAAGGAGACTTTCTAAAGATTAAATCCCTGTGTGCATAAAAAGCTTGTTGTAATAGAGTGAAAATAAAACCTATTAACTGCACCACAACAAGATAAAGGTAAACAACCCAATTGCAAAATGAGCACAGGATATGAACAGACACTTCTCCAAAGAAGACATTCAGATGGCTAACAAGCACATGAAGAAATGTTCAAAATCCCTAGCTCTAAGAGAGATGCAAATCAAAACAACTATGATGTATCATCTCACCCCAGTAAGAAAAGCCAAATTTAACAGAACAGCAAACAACAAATGCTGGTGTGGTTGTGGAGAAACTGGAACCCTTATTCACTGTTGGTGGGAGTGTAAAACAGTGCAACCACTGTGGAAGGCAGTATGGAGCTTTCTCAAAAAGTTGCAAATAGAAATACCTTTTGACCCAGCAATTCCACTATGGGAATATACCCTAAAGAGACCATAACTGACATCCAAGCAGATATATGCACACCCATGGTTATTGCTGCTTTGCTAACAATAGCAAAGAATTGGAAACAAACCAAGTTCCCATCATCAAATGAATGGATTGAGAAGCTGTGGTATATTCATACAATAGAATACTATGCACTGAAAAACAAAGGACTAATGGAATATTATACAAAATGGGTGACCCTAGAGGATATTATGCTGAATGAAATATCTCAGTCACAAAAGAACAAATACTGAATAATGCCACTGTTGTAAAATGGGACTGACATTGGGGTGGGGTTGAAGGGAAACTAAGAAAAGGGGGGATATGTAATGTACACAGCATTGAAGCAGATGAGGGAGAGAACTGTTTGAAAGGGATATAAGATTAGGTATTATTTGCATGACAGGAGTCCAGAATAAGAACTGTATAGTAAAGTGGACTTGGGGGCAGGGGTGTGTATAAGAATGAAAGAATTTTTTTTTTCTTTTCAAAGAGAAAAGCGAAATTTGGGGGAGGAAAACTGCAACAATGAATGAATGGACATCTAAAGTCTCTATAAACTTTCATTAACATCTCAGTTTAAAAAGTTTAAAAAAAGAATTAAGTTCTTATATTAAATAGCAGTCACAATGAGAACCACTATTCTCTCTTTAAACAATTGTAAATAAACAATTGTAAATAAAAACACAACAAAAACCCTACTGACTGGGAAAACAAATTTGGCAATACCATTTGAGACAAGGGTCTCATATCAAAAATTTATAGAATCCGCCACCCAAAGGTAATAAAGGAGGTCAGAATTGCTTCCACTGTGGAAAGCTGGGCCACTTCAGTAGACAGTGTCACAGACGAGAGCCACAGATAGGCAAGGGAGTAGAGAGGAAGCGCCCACTCACTTGCTCTTAAAGTGAGAGCACATGAAAACATTTCATGTGGCTCTGAAGGACACTTGGCCAAGGTGGCGCACATCAGGTCCTCGTGGCTGACAGGACTGACAGGCCCCAGCTCCCAGCTGGAAACAAAGGAGGACACTTCAATGATTTAGATCCCCCTAGAAGAGCCGTGGATGAGCATTAACATTACTGGTAAGTATATTCATTTTTTCCTGGACACAGAGCCTACTAATTGGTCCTAAAAGCCTTCTGAGGTCCCAACTCTTCTCACTATCTCTTAGTTGTTGGTATGGATGGAAAACCTCATAAGCAGTTCCTTACTTCACCTCTACCTTGCATGTGAACTTCCGAGTTGTAAAACAGCCCAGTGGTAGATGGCATTTGCTCCAGGACTTAAGAAGCATAAATGACATAGCTGAGCCTCTACATCTTGTGGTTCCTAACCTGTACACTATAATAGACAAAGTGCTAGTCTATAGGCCTTTTATTGTAAGAACCACCTTCCCTCTGTAACTTGATTTGTGCCACTACTAGAACCTCTACTCGGAATATTATTGCTTGTTAATTTTTGACTCATGTACTTTTAACTTGTTAGTTAAATTTGTGTCTTCTAGGTTGCAACACCTCCATGATACATCTTCAAGGATATGAACATGTACGGCTAAGCACAATTAATAACAGTGCATCTAAATTCCAAAACCAATCTCCATAATAGTCTATGTGTTTCCTACTGCCAAAGGGGCCCTTTAGAGTAGTGAGAGAAGATCTTCACCCTGAAACCCACAACGTCCCTTTTCAGCAGGAAGTAGCTAAGAGAATACGCCATCCCCTTTTCCTTATGAATCAGGGTGAAGTCTCTCTCAGGGAGGAGTGATAGGCAATGGCAAAGGACACACTGACAAAGGAGATTAATCAGAACTGGCTTTGACAAGCACTGTGGCAATTGGACAATTAAAACAGACATTTGGATGGGGGGGAGGGGAGAAGAAGAACCAACTGGGGAGGAGGGTAGTGAAAACAGTGCAACAATGAATGAATGAGAATCCAAAATCTCTGTAAATGTTCATTAAAACTAATACAATTTAATAATAATTTTTTTAAAAAGTTTATAGAATCCTACAGAGCCTCCACAAGAAAAAGACTGATAACACAATTACAAAATGAGCCAAAGACATGGAAAGAATTTTCACAGAGGACGATTTTAATTTGGCCAACAGACACATGAACAAATGCTCCAAATCACTTGCAAAAAAGAGATGCAAATCAAAATCACAATGAGGTACCATCTTACTCTAGTAGCAGTGGCAAAGTTTAACATGGAAGCAAGTAATAAATGTTGGAGGGGATGTGGAGGAAAAGAAACTCATACATTTTTGGTAGGATTGTAAAATGCTACAACACTCTGGAAGGCAGTTTGGCGCTTCTTAAAAAAACTGAACATAGAAATTCCACATGACCCAGCTATTCCACTGCTTAGAATATAGCCCTGAGAAAATGAGAACTGAGGCACAAACAGAGATTTGTCTACCGATGTTGATAGCATCATTATTTGCCATGACAAGAACACGGAAACAGCCTAAATGTCCAATAAAATGGAATGGATTAAGAAATTTAAGTATATTCACAAAAAGGAATACTATGGAGAACACAGGAGTAATTATTTTGTAAATTACTACCTAACTTGGGAGGGACTGGAGAGCATTATGCTAAGTGAACTAACTCAGCCCCATAAGGACAAATACTGTATAAAACCATTGTTGTAGAATGAGAATGAGGATCCAAGGGGGGATAGGAGGGAGCAGAGGGGTGAGGGTGGGCGGGGAAGGGTTCACTATAGGGTCATATAATTTGATGTGGGGGTGGGTGGGTGAAGGAAATGGGAAAGATCCCAGTGTGAAAAACAATATATACCAATCGCATTGTTACTGGAAACCTCTAGAAATATTAAATGTCCCTGGTATTTGTGAAAATTTTAAAAAAGGAATATCTCTGTTTCATTGACTATGCAAAGACAGTTGACTGTTTAGATCACAACTAATTGTGGCTAACATTGAGAAGAATGGGAATCTCAGAACACTTGATTGTGCTCATGCAAAACTCATACTTAGACCAGGAGGCAGGCTTCAGAACAGAGCAAGGAAACACTACATAGTTTGAAATCAAGAAAGAAGTGTATCAGACATGCCTTCTTTCTTCATACCTTTTCCATTTGTATGCAGAACAGATTATTCCAGAGGCTGGATTTTATGAGGAAGAATAGGACATCAAGATTGGAGGAAGACGTATCAACAAGCTGTGCTGTGCAGATGACACAACTTTGGTTGCCAACACTGAGAAGCTTTTGCTGCAAAAAGTCAAGGCCTGCAGTCTTCCATACGGATTGAAGCACCACATCCAGATAACAAAGATTCTCATCACTAGGCCAATTGGTAGCACCATGATAGATGGAGAAGAGATTGAGATTGTTAACAATTTCTGCTTACTTAGTTCTACAATTGATACTCTTGGTACCCACAGTCAAAAAATCAAAAGACAAGTTGATTTTAGGAGAGTGTGCTGTCAAGGAATTCTGCAGAGTCCTAGAAAGTAATGACGTCAGTTTAGAGACTAAGGTGTATCTGATCCAGGGCATGGTCTTCACATTTACTGGCTATGTATCAGAAAGCTGGACAATGAATAAGGATAACAGAAGAATCAATGTCTTTAACTGTGGGGCTGAAGAAAATTATTGACCATACCATGGACTCCTAGAAGAACAAACAACTGGTGGTGTAGTCTGTAGTAAGTTAGTTGTGCTGCTAAAACAATGGCTCTATGGCTCCAATGGTGTGAATCCCACAGCAGCTCCCAGAAGAAAAATAGTCTCCTCCCATTATGATTTGCTTGTGTTGTTATGGGCCATTGAGTGGACTACTACTCAATACAGCGTAATAGTGCTGAACCCTGCTCTATCTGGAGTCAATCTCACGGTCTCTGACACACTTGTCCCATTGCCACTGTCACTGTGTCAATCAATGCATCTCATTCAGGATCTTCCTCTCTTGCACTGTCCCTCCACCCTTCCAAACATAATGTGCTTCTCCAAGGACTGGTTCCTCCTGGCAACTTGCCAAAAGTATGTAAGATGGATCTTCAAAATTATAGCCTCTAAGAGGAAACGTGACTTCACCATCTCCAGGACACATCTTTTGTTCACTTGGTGGTCCTACAGCCTTGGAAATCCAATGGAGGATTTTTAGGAGTCAGAACCAATTAATTTGACAGCATGAGTTTGAAGGGTTTGTTTGCTGTGTTTTGTTTCTGGTTGGTTGTTTTTTTAAGGGTGGGGAGTTTTGTTTGTTCTTTTAGCTGTGGCAAAAAGTTTTATTGTTTCATTTGGTCCAAGGCTTGGGTGAAGGGCTTGTGGGTGGATAAGATTCTCCATCAGGGTGGAAAGAGAAACTTGCTGCTGATGGCAGGGGGGTGCAGAGGTCCCCCCTGCAGGTCACTGCAGGCCCCTAGTCGTGTTCGAGGGTGAGACACTCAAAGAGATACTCGCCCAGCCCAGCCCGGAGGCCGTCCAGTCTTCTAATGTTGGTCAGTTGGTCACCCATCTTCTTGAGCAGTTTCACTTCCTCATTCAGGAAGTGGTTCTCCAGAAAGTCACAGAGATGGGGGTCTGTGTGGGAAGAACCCATGGTGTGCAGATCCAGAAGAACAGAGCTTAAGTTCTTCTTCAAGGCCAACGCTGTTTCCATGGCGTCCAAGGTTTTGTCCCACTCATCCTGGGATGGCTTCTGGATATCTTGGAAGAGGACACGGCCACTGTGCTGGTTTTGAAGCTGCAAGAATCTCTTGTCAGCCTCACACGTCTCCTTTGCCAGCTCGCGGAACAAATGTCCCACGCTTTCCAAGACCACATCATCACGGTCAAAATAAAAACCCAGAGAGAGGTAGGTGGAAGAGGCCTGCAGGTGCAGATTGTCAAAACAGTTGATGCCAGCTTCCCCTTCAGCAGAATAATTTTGTCCGATCTGATAGCTCATAGGGTCGAAGTTTTGGGACTAACAAAAAACAGTGTTATCTGATCCCGAAAATAGGTTATGGCTAAGATGGTCCCAAGATTACTCCTGGAGATGAAGTTGGAGGGTAGTCAGAGGCTGGAAGGGGCAGTCGCCAGGTCTGTCCAAACACTATTGAAGCAAGAGACAGATAGGGACCTCTGGGGAATTCTGGTTTTGTTTTGTCTTGTTATTTAAGTTTTGAATGACAAAAGTAATTAAGCACTCAATTAGTATGCGAAAGGTTGATGGTTCACGCCTAGCCAAAAGTACCCTGTTAGATGTTGTTGTTGCTGTTATGTGCCATCCAGTCACTTGCAAATCATAGCAACCCTATGTACAACAGTGCTAAGCTCTGCTCTGTCCTGTGCCAATCACACTGTCTCTGATAGTCCCATCCCGATTATCCCAGTCATTGAATCAATCCACCTCATAGAGGGCCTTCCCCTCCTGCGCTGTCCCTCCACCCTCCCAAGCATGATGTCCTTCTCCAAGGAC